TGAGATATCTTTTATATATAGCGTCCTTTATATATGTATATACGACCCTTCTGTAGACGGACAGATATATATATATATATATATATATATATATATATATATATATGCATATATATAGACACACACACGTATCAATGGCTATCATTATTTTAATTATAAGGTCGACATTGTTTTAATATAAGGTATCGACTCGACATTGTTGTAACGTATTGAGTAGACAGTTGTAATAAGTTAGGTAATTAACTAAAAAAATTGACAATTAGTGAAATTATATTCTGATCGTCAGATTATTATATTGAATTGATAACTACCGATTGGAAATGTAACCAGTAAACAAATTGCCTTCTCATACAATGTTAGTCACGGGTCATGGCATGAACGATGCGTCATCACATTGTTCTAGTTCATGCACGTTTGTATTTGTCTTCCCAGGACGTCACAATTGTATTCAGAAAAATGAATTACCAATGAAGATAATACTGAGTCGTTAATGTTCTTGTTGTATAGTTTTTGTTAGCGGTGGAATTTCGTCAACAGGATTACGCCGGGTCATTTTTAGGTATCCTTTCAGGTTACCGGTTAAAAAGTGTTTATTTGATATTAAAAATGATGTAGTAAAGCATGTATGAAGCTTGTGGTAAATATAATGGGAGGACTGTGCTTGTATAAAAATAAAGGCACAAGGTTTATAGTGAACTAGAAGAGCTACATCCACTTTTCTTTGTATTTCTTTTGGATTCTTTACAATAACTCTCCCTTTCTACTCTTGGGTTGAATATGAAATGAGCCAAACTCAAAGGAAAATCCTCTCCCTACTCGTTTGGGGCTTTGCCCCTTTTATAGCCAAGGGTTCTTTCGTGGGCGGTTCTTCTCGTAGGCAGAAGCACTCGAGTGGCCTACCCTCATAGGCTCAGATCGTAGCCCACTAATCACCTTTTGAACTGTACACTCATCCAAGTAGTCTTCCATTACGGCTTTGTAGACTCCCTGTAACCCTCCACCGTTCACTGTTGGGCGGTTTAGGGGCTTGTAATTAATGCTTGCATTGCAAACATCTCCCAGTGCCAGACGTAAGTTGGTTGTGTCAGACACCTTTATGGAGATACGGGCGTCGCCTCCTATGCTCTTCCCTCGACGTCTACGTTGAGCGGGCGGTGGCCTCTTCTGGCTGCTGATCCTTCCGTGGCGTAGGGAATTTGCACAAGTCATAGGGTCGACGCCCTAAGGCGGGCTTTCTTCGCAGCGTAAAGGGGAAGTGAGCTTCAGGCGTCGAGGGTTGTCGCTTTGTGAGGAGAAGTAGGGCCACGTGTAACGCTGTCGCTATCCCACGTGTCACCTGGATTTTCCCACACAACAGTTGCCCCCCACATCGAGGCTTTCTTTCAGACAGCCTCGAGCTAGGTTCGAGTACTTTTCTATGCTTCGGGTAGTGCTGAAAATTTAGGCCGGGCCAGACGGGGCGGCTCGAAGCCCGTTACTGTGGGCCTGGGGCCCGGCCCGGCCCTAGTGTAGGGCCGGGTTGGGCTGTAATTCCAGGCCCGCAGGCGGCCCGAGCCCGGCCCGGAGAGCCCAAATAGCCCGACCCGAAAATAACCCGAAATTGCCCGAAATTTTTTTTTTTTGGGTCTTTCGGCCTAAGGCCTAGGCTGCCCAAATTTGGAGTGGGCTGACTCATAGCCTTCTTGGCAGAGGGCTGCAGGCTGCAGCCCTCTGCAAAATTTTTATTTTTTTTTTATTTTTTGGGCCAAGGCCCAAGGGTCCAAGGCCAAGCCCTGCCCAACGGTAATATTACCGTTGGGTGGGCTGACTCACTTCCGTGAGGCAGTGAGTCTAATGGCCTTCTTGGCAGAGGGCTG